ATCCAAAATTAAAAATAGTTAGCATTCCATTCAAATATATAGCGTCTACCGCTAACACACGACTAACAACTATTAATATTTATAGTGTCTATAGCTATTAGTTTTAACACTATTTATAGTGTATATAGCTATTAGTTTTAACACTCCATTGAGATTTATAGTGTCCACGCGTTAACATTCAATAAATACTCTATTAAAATTTATTTGGTTTAGTTTTAGTTTCTCTATTTTTAAAAAATATTAAATTTAATTAAAAATTTAATCAAAATTGGTTAAATAATTACAGTTATTTTATTGTTCAATTATGTGTAGTTTATTACTAAACATAAAATTTAAAATTCCTAATTTATTGTTTTCTCCCTTCTATCATCTCTAAGTACAAGTAACCGCCAGGGCAAAGTTGGAAAGTGAAAAATTACAGAACGTCCACATTCCAAAAATTTTTAGTCCAACGATGCTTCTGGCAGTTATATACTTTGATGTCGACATGATTTCTCCACCGCTTGTTTTCCGAATTGCAGTCTTTAAAATCCCAAAATGTCTGCGTTTCTTTCACTCAGTTTCGAAATTGCTCCGATTCACCATTGCAATGGCGGACTTCAAGCTTCACCGTCTTCTTCCCGCTTTTCTCGTTCTGTTTGTTCTACTTGTTCCTTCTGTGATTGCTGCAGGCTGCCAATGTCCTGAAGAAGAAGAAGACGGAGGCGTTCGAAACAAAACCCTAGCCCTCAAATACAAAATCGTCGCCATAGCTACGATTCTTCTCGCTGGAATCCTTGGGGTGTTTATTCCCTTACTCGGGAGGGCATTGCCGGCGTTGAGTCCGGACAAGGATATTTTCTTTGTCGTTAAAGCCTTCGCGGCTGGTGTCATATTGGCCACCGGATTCATCCATGTCCTTCCTGATGCCTACGAGAATCTGACGTCGCCGAAACTGAAACAGAATCCTTGGGCGAAGTTTCCGTTCACCGGCTTGGTGTCTATGGTGGCTGCCATTGCCACTTTGATGGTGGACGCCGGTGCCAGTTCTTATTTCACTCGACTTAATCTGAATAAGGCTCAGCCTGAGACGGACGGCGATGGAGAGATGCATCCTGCATGTCACGCTCATGGCTCTGCCAAAGTCGTCGGATCATCCACGGAGATTCTCCGGCATCGGGTGATCTCTCAGGTACTAGAGCTTGGAATTGTGGTACATTCGGTAATTATAGGGATTGGTATGGGTGTTTCTGAAACTCCAAGTACAATAAAACCTCTTGTGGCGGCCATCACTTTTCATCAGTTATTTGAAGGTATGGGCCTAGGAGGATGCATCGCCCAGGCAAAGCTCAGAACCAGGGCAGCGGTGATAATGGCAGTTTTCTTCTGCCTGACAACGCCAATTGGGATAGCAATAGGCATTGGAGTAACCAACAGCTACGACGAAGATAGCCCAAAAGCACTCATAGTTGAGGGGATTCTGAATGCAGCCTCCGCTGGTATCTTAATCTATATGGCTCTAGTGGACTTTCTGGCTGCTGATTTTATGAGCCTTAGAATGCAGAGCAATGCAAAGCTTCAATTCTTTGCCAATGTTGCTCTTATTCTTGGAGCTGCTTTGATGTCTTTACTTGCCATATGGGCTTGAAACTCGTACCAATCTTCCCACCCAAAATCATTTCAAGTATTTGTTAGAACATAACTTCAAGGATTCTAGTATTAGAATAAACAGCGTTTGACACGCTATAAGTCTTGTGTTGTTTAGTCTGCATTTAGAGAGCTTGATGTGAAGTGTAGAGTTGTTTGATATGAAGTTATGAAGTCTGTGTTTATCTTATATATATACAATATAAATTTGTATGTATATATATATATATATTGTACTATACTATTCAAATTGTTGTGTTTACTATTTTTCTTATAACTTTGAAGTATCATAAATTTTAACAACCGTGCAAGTATTTCTTCATTGCAATATTCACAAATGAAACACATTCTTATCATCTTTATAGCTAAATTTCGCTTTGAGTATTGCTTCAAAGTTTGCTTGATTGTGAATGTGAATTTTAAATGATCTTTGTTATTGATCATCACGTGAAATACTTGAATAGTTTTTGTTGTTGTTTTTTTGTTAATTTGACTGAATAAAGTTGTTGAAATCATAAAATCTTACTTCGAGCAATCTCCAATCTCCTACAGGAAATAGAACCAAAATCTGGAATGGAGAAGGAAGATGAGCCAACCAGGAGTATCAGGTCGAGCTAATCAACGATATCATAGGTCGGGGGCATGCACATTGAGGCGAAGAGAGTCATCTGTGATGGAGGTACACAAAATATATGTATATATTTTAAGCATATGAAACTGCATCCTTTAGCTTCCTCCTCCTGGCGAGTTGGCCAAAACGTTGTCTATAAATTTGCCTAATGAGATAAAGGAGGATCCACCTTCCTTCACACTTTTCCTACTCTCTTCACTTTTGGCTTTCACTTTCTTCCTTATCTCATTACTTTCTTCTCCCATCAATGTCCTGATTCCATTCTTTATCTCTTCTGCACTCACCAATCTCGGCTTACCTTCACCAAAAGTAATTCTATACTCTAATGTGATCTCCACAGCTAATTCCAATTCCTTCACCATCTCGAAGGCATTGAATTGTTGCTCGGCGTGCATAGGCCATGTCGCCATCGGCACTCCATGCCATACACTTTCTATAATTGAGTTCCAACCACAATGTGACACGAATCCTCCTATAGAGGGGTGTGCCAATAGCTCCACCTGTGACGTCCATCCGATCACTCTCCCAATATCTGCTGTTCTATCGAGAAATCCCTCCGGTAGGACGTCTTTGATGTCGGTGTAGTTTCTCGGCGCTTCGAACTTACCCTTTGGTGGGGGCTGCCTAAGGGACCATATGAAGCCAACCCCACTTTCCTCCAATGCATTTGCTATCTCCACCACCTGATCTTCATCAAAGCTCACCATGGTCCCAAAACACACGAGAACCACTGATGATGGAGGTTTACCATCAAGCCATTGTAATATTTCTTCATAATTTTCAGCCTCACTTGATCCAGCAACCCCTGTGTTTTTCAAATGCAAAATGGGTCCAACGAAGTATAGCGGTGGGAAGACTCTGCCATTACTCGATATGGACTCCATGGCATGAAATTCCATTTCCATAAATGTATTGACAAGAATCCCTTTGATTTCTGATCTAAATCTCTTAATATGGTTATGAAACCAAATGGCCTTGTCCTTGTTGGAGAAGAGACTAGGAATGAGTTTACTCGGAATGGGATTAGCAAAATTTGGCAAAGTAATGAACTCAGTATCCGAGTTCAGCAACTGTTCCACCACCTCATTGCTATCATTCTGGTCGTAAAGCTCTCGAAGATGAACACTAAAAGCCAGAAAGCTAGCGCTGCAGGTATAAAACACATAACAAGGAACCCCAAATTCATTAGCCACATCGATCATGGTTGTACAGAACATGTCAATGACAAACCCAGCTAGCTGAGGCGAGTCAAGACTTGTCTCAGAGCCAACCAAGTTGGCGACAGCCTCTCTGACATAAGCTTTGTAGCTTTCAACCAGCACAATGAAGTCCTTTTTACTTTCTTCTGGAAGGGACGGTTCAGGAAGGACGATGAATTGTATAGATTTGCCTGTGAAAGACATAGAAAGTGAGTCGATACATTCAGCAACTTTGAGATCGTAGGGCAGCTTCATGGCGAGCACTGTGACAGAGAGACGAGGATCTCGAGTGACAAGAACATTGGCCATTTCTACTGTGGAAGCAAGGTGACCCATTCCTGGGGCAGGTATGAAAACCATCTCAAACTTCTTCATTTGAGCTGAATTTACAGATTCACACAGAATTGTTGAGTGCTGGGAGATGGGAGGAAGAAGAAAAGTTTGGCGTTTGTAAAAGGGAATGGGATTGGCCAAAGATGAGTGAGTTGAATCGACCTTAGGATATGAATGTGATAAGATAAGATGTGTGGGAAGAAAGTAGGATGAATGTAATGGAGGGTGGATCTTCCTTCATCTCATTGGGCCATTATTAGTTTATTTGATTTGGCTTTTATTGCTATGAACTATTTGATTTTGTTTTTGTACTGTCGCTATGAAAAACCCTTCACTAGCTAGCTGAACTAGAGGGAACCTATTAGGAGATATTGAAAAACCATGTCGGTTGATATAGCAATTTCGTTTCCAATGGTTTAAGGGCTTCAAAGCAACCTGTTATCTATGATCAAAAACAAGTTGAGAAGCGTTTTTTTTATTTATACTGAACAGTTTAGCAGGCTTAGAAATGTCCACAGGGGTCGGAAGCCCTTCTCATCTCCATTCTCACCTCCTACTTCAATCTGTAATCCTCGATTATTTTTTTTTTTTTTTTTTTTGAGATTCGTGTGAAGATTTTTTTTTCTCATTTTTAATATTGTTTTTAAAAAAAATTTAAAGAATAATTTCATCTTCCAATATAATTTTTATAAGAACATTACGATAAATTCAATAAAATGTCAATATTATAATATAGGATTCTGCACTTTATATTATATAGGTGGAACATGATCGAGATGGAGATGAAAGAATATAATCCTCGCCCCCTGCCCTATTTAACTAACAAAGAGAAATCTCTTTCCATTCGCCTTTAGCACCTTCCTCCGGGCGAGCGGGCTTAAACGTCCTCTATAAACTTGCCCATTGAAACATAAGAAGATCCACCTTCCATCACACATCTCCTACTCTCTTCACTCAAGCCTTTCACTTTCATCCTCACCTCACTATCCTCCTCCATTAACTTCCTAATCCCTTTCTCAATCTCCTCCCCACTCACTGCTCTCGGCTCGTCACCTGCACCCTCCTTCCGATACTCCACCGTGATCTCCACCGCCAATCCCAACTCCACCACCATCTCATAGGCATTGAATTGCTGCTCTGCATATATCGGCCATGTCGCCATCGGCACGCCATGCCACAAACTCTCCAACGTCGAGTTCCACCCACAATGCGACACGAACCCACCTGTCGCTGGATGCCCTAATATCTCCACTTGCGGCGCCCACCCGATCACCCTCCCAACCTCCGCCGTTCGATCCAGAAATCCCTCCGGTAAGATGTCTTTGAAGTCCGTATAATCAGTTGGGTCCTGAAACACTTCCTTTGGTGGCGGCTTCCGGAGCGTCCACACGAAACGAACCCCACTTCGCTCAAGCCCTTCGGCGATCTCCTCCACCTGACCCTTCTCGAAGCTTCCCCTGCTTCCAAAGCACAAGAACACCACCGATGATGGTGGCTGCTCATCCAGCCACTTTAGCACATCGGCACGATCCGTTCCCTCAATTTTGTTGTTGTTCAAGTGTAAAATTGGGCCAATGGAATACAACGGCGGGAGATTCAAAGAGGAATCACTTGATAAAGAACATATCACACGGGATTCCAATTCCTCAAATGTATTGATGAGAATCCCTTTCATTTCAGTTCTTAATCTCTTGGTTTCTTCATAAATCCAAACCGCCCCTTTTTCCATAAAGAAGATTCCTGGAATGACTTTGCTAGGAATTGGGTGGATTAAACTCGATACTCTCAAATCAAAATCTGGGTTCTTGAATTGTGGATTCACTGCTTCATTACTGTTCTTTTGACGGTAAATTTCTTCAAGATGTAGGTTAAAAGCAAGATAAGCAGCACTAGAAGTGTAATACACATAAGAAGGAACCCCAAGTTCTTTAGCCACATCCACCATGCTTGTAGTGAACATGTCCAAGACGAATCCAGCAAGGGGGTTTGTAAGTAGTGAGCTAACAGCTTCTTTGACATGGGGTTTGTAGCTGTCGAGGAGTACTTTCAGCAATAGATCTTTGCTATCTTTTGGGACGGGTAATTCAGGAAGAACAATGAGGCGTATGGATGGGTTATTGGAAAGAGATTCAGAAAGGGATTGGATATATTCAGAAGCTTTGGAATCAAAGGGCATCTTCATGCCAAGCATTGTGATAGAGAGACGAGGGTCTCGAGTAACAAGAAGGGTGGCCATCTCCACTGTGGAAACGAGGTGACCCATCCCCGGCATGGGTATGAAAACCAGCTCAAACTTGTTCATTTTTTGAAGAGTCTTGCAGGGAGATGTGGGTGAAGTTTGGCTTGTTATATAACAGTTGGTGCTGGGAAAAGAAGAAGAAGAAGATGTCATGCCTTTGCTGTAAGATAACTGGAAAACCAAGCGGACAAATGAAGATAGAAACTGAATGGTTTGAATTAAATATGAAAGGATAAGATCAATGAAGAATATGCAGAGTCTGCACGTGTGTGTACCGTCGACTATGTTCTTTTTTTCCATTGGTTTCTTGGAAACTTTCTATAAATAAATTATCCATTAGTTTCTATGGTTTAGCTATAAAATTATAACGTAACTTTTTAAAAGAACAAAAAATTTTGAAAAAAAGTTTAGCAGTTTTCAAACCACAAGATCATTTGTACCATGGTGATTACTCTCAACGATATATGTGCATATGTTTATAATGTAGCAAATAAAGAGAGGGTTTCTAAGGGCTCCTCTATCACAAATTCGAGTGAGGTCTTAAGAATACTTCAAGATAGAGCAGTTTATCACGATAGGTGTCAAGTAAAAATGCAGTGATGTATGCAACTGAGGCATTCTAACATACTCGTAAACTTAAACATTGTTCCTACATGATGTGATCAATTTAGTTAGACACTCACCATTTCGAAGGCATTCAGAGAGGACGATGAAGCGTACAGATTTGCCCGCAAAGTATACAGAAAGTGATTGAATATTCTGGGCCATGTTAGGGTTGAAGGGTAGCTTGTGGGTGAGCCTTGCGACAGACAGAAGTTCATCTTGAGTGACCAGAATATTGGCCAGCTCAACCGTGGAGGTAAGGTGACCCGTCCCTGTCGCAGGTATTTCAACCAGCTCAAACTTGTTCATTTCCTAAAGAATGACAAACCAAAAGAGAAAATGAGATATGATCTCAACTGTGAGGATCCATCCAGTGGAGTGGTTCTAGTTTTATGTGCTTGGAGAAGAAGAAAGGTGATGACAAAAGTTAAATAGAACTTGTGGTGCCAGTACTTACAGTGTAACACTTACTCTAGTCCATGGTGGATGAGAGGTGACCCAATCCAGAGAAAATGCGACGTGTGAAGGTCCAGTCCAGCTTTGTTGCTAAGAGATAATGGAGAACTGTTGGACTTTGTTGCTAAGAGATAATGGAGAACTGTAATAGCCCAAGCCCACCGCTAGCAAATATGGTCCACTTTGGCTCGTTATGTATTGCCATCAGCCTTACAGTTTTAAAATGCATATGTTAGAGAGAGCTTTCCAGACTCTTATCAGAAATGCTTCGTTCCCCTCTCCAACCAATTTGGGATCTCACAAGAACACAGATAAGTTCGTGCATTTGCTGAACTCGAACTCGAAGGGAGGCAGAAAGATCAGTAACCTAGTTAGGCTAAGAAAACGCAGCAGTCAAACGAATGGCTTGAGTGAAGCTTTATCAGGCTAAGAAGACACGGTTGAGAATTGTTAGGAGAGGAGTTCCACATCGGTTAATTACGGAGTTGATCATGGGTTTATAAGTAAGGAATACATCTCCATTGATACGAGATCATGGGTTTATAAGTAAGGAATACATCTCCATTGATACGAGGCCTTTTCAGAAAAGCAAAAGCAAAGCTATGAGAGCTTACCTCGTGCAGCATTAGCAGTTGCAGCATTAGCAGTGTTTGTGAGGCTAAATCATCAAGAGCTCAGCCGCTTCTTCTCCTGAACATGGCAAATGTATCATTCATCAGGCTCCAGAAGACCACCGGCATAGGAGGTGGACTGTGGCTTGTAACCAGCATGTTTCATCTCCATCAGTAATTCCTCCAACATGTTGTATATCTGATCGGATTGTGGATGTTTCCTATCCTTTGAAGCAAAATGGTTCATATAACCAGCAATCTCAATCCAACTGCTTCCAGTTTCCTTTTTCAAACCTCTCTCCCTCATCTGTCTTCGAACGATATCGACATTTTCCCAGTTTCTTTCCTCCGCATATATATTCGAAAGCAAAACGTGGTAACCTGTCTTCCCATTTCTTTTCTCCATTTCAAGCAACTTCATGGCAACAACCTTTCCTAATTCAAATTGTTTATGAATCCTACAAGCAGCAAGAAGAGATCCCCAAATTTCCATTGCATTCCCTTGTTCCCCTAATCCTACGACGAACTCATAGGCTTCGTCCACTCTCCCGACCCTCCCCAGCATGTCTGCTACACAACAGAAGTGTTCAGTGGATGGTTGAATGTTATATACAGTTCTCATGGACTCGAAAATTTGAAGGCCTTCGTCGACCAAACCCGAATAACTACAGGCAGACAAGATTGCTACGAAGGTAACTGCATCAGGCCTAATACCAGATTTTTGTATTGTGTGGAACATAGAGAGAGCACTCTCACCCATCCCATGTTGACCATAACCCAATATCATGGTGGAAAAAGTGACTATACTTCTCTCACTAGCTTTTCTAAAAACATTTTCAGCATTGGCGATCGACCCTGATTTGGAATACATGTCAATAAGAGCAGTTGCAACAAAGACGTTTTGGTCCAAGTCGTTACGGATGGAGAATCCATGGAGTTGCTTGCCCCAATCTATGTACCCTGATGGATTACAAGCAGGAAGAATCGAAGCTAGTGTCACAACATTAGGCGTTATCTTTTGGTCGAGCATCTGTCTAAGTACGAGAAAGGCCTGATGGACGAGGCCATTTTGTGTATAGCCAGACATCATGGCATTCCAAGTAGCTTGATCTCTTTCATGACTATAGCTTTTCTCAAATACATTTTGAGCAGCCTCAATCAAACCAGATTTAGCATACATGTCTATAAGATAGCTATCCATTCCCTCAAATTGGATACCATTCCTAAGTAGATAGCCATGAGTTTGCTTACCAATATTGGGGTTTCTAAGATCTGAAGCTGCTGAAAGCAGAGCGGTAACAGCCACAGAATCAATCATCATGCCTTGCTTCTGCATCTCATAGAAAAGCATTAGTGCTTCATCGTTCAATCCATTTTGAACAAAAGCAGAGATCATTGTATTCCATGAAACAACATCCTTTTCAGGCATATAATCGAAAATTTTAAATGATACATCAGTTGAGTTGCA